TTCGAGACTGATGTTCCATTTGAGTCAAAAAATGAAGATGGAGATCGTAAGGAAAAGGGCATATTATGAACCCGGAAAAACCTAGCCCTTCCACCTCTAAACCAAATTTGAATAAGAGAATGTTGTGTATATGGTGGGACATTCGAGGACCAATACATTATGAGCTTTTAAAAACGAACGAAAAGCTCAATTCGGAGAAGTATCGTCAACTGGATAATTTAAAGACAGTAGTCCAAGAAAAGAGGCCAGCGATGTTCAACAGGAAGGACATTATACTGCATCATGATAATGGTAGGTCACATGTTGATTTGGAGGCTCGTCAAAAAATGGCAGAAGTAGGCTTGGAAATTCTGTCACATCCACCATATTTCCCGAACTTAGCACTCTCCAACTATTCCTTGTTTTTGTCTTTATAAAATTTTTTGAAGGGCAAAAAATTCAAAAATAAAGAAGATGTCGAACAAGTACTGGTTCAAATTTTCGCATCAAAAGATAAACATTTTTCAAAAATGTGATGAACAAATTGCCCCCACGCTGGCAAGAAATCATTAATAACAACGGCAATTATATTATTTAATAAAATTTATTGGCGATAAGAAAAATTTGTATTTTGTTTTATTCCAAAAACGGACAGAACTTTCCGGTAGACCGAATATATATCTAATGAAATTCGAGGACATAAGCTTAAATGAAGGACATCAAAAAAAAATGTGTAAAATTTAATAAACGTCATTTGGTGCCCGCATCAGCTTTTTAAAATTTATTAAGAATTTTTTATATAGATAAGTAATTTTAGCGCAGTTATGTGTGAAATTGTATTTTTCTATGTAATGTAATATGAAACATAGAGAGGGAAGCTTTGCCAGAAAAGTAAGAATACGCAGGGGCAAGTCCATTTAACATTGAGTAAAAGCGTATCTCGGTAATTTGGCGAGATATCGCCAAGCTGACAACGGTTTTGGCTACTTATTTTGTCACCAAATTTGGCAAAACATCGCCAAAAGTCTCCGAACTTGGAGATTATTTGGCAACATTTTGGTCCAGTTCCTGTATCATCATAATAGCTTTTGTAATTGAATAAATGTAATTGATCATTATATTAGTTGTAACCGTAATCCGACCCTCATATTGTTTGCAGAAAGAACTAGAAAAATCTCGGCGGCCGGGTGAAAACTATATGAGGCGACGACAGCATCTGCTTTCAGTTATTGTTGTTGTTAGCTATTAGCTCAGAGTTAGTTCCGAGTATAGCTTCGCTCTTTGACTACGCTTTCCATTCTGTTGTCTTTAAAGTTCATAGTAGTTTGAAGTGTAACTAGTGATTGCATTCTGTGATATTGTGAACAGTTGTACGACTATTTTTGTGGAAAGTTTCTGATTTTTGAAGTGTTTATTTGATCAAATAAATTTTATCAACCTATCATCGCAGCTGCGTGCATTCAATCTATTGCGAACACGTACGCACGTAACATTATATTCCTACGCCAGAAACAAGTAACACAATCTTGTATAGTATAGTGACATTTATATCCAAATTTGCATAGCTAAACTGCATCTGAGTGTGGATTCTATAAAATGCTGGAGCCAAGCATGTTTATAAACATGCTTACACGCTTGGCTTCAACACTTACTTATGTTTCCATTCTAAATAATCGATTCAGCGTTAACGCCTCATATAAATTAACTACATTATATTAATATTTAAAACCGTAATAAACTTAGATAATTAAAAATTAAACATTTTTAATATTTGCAGTCCATTATAAATATTTGTTATGAATTTATGCGCTTTTTCGTAAGACATAATCGTTAATGATGTCATGGTAGTGCAGTTCTTATTATTTCATTTGCTGTATAGGCAGAAATGTAAGGAGATTTAATTTTTCTTGACCTCAAACAAGCTTTATCAATTTCCGCTGCAGTAGCTGAAAGCGGAATGGAAGGGGGGGGGGAATCATACGGCAACTCATAAGCTTCTTCTGGAGCTTTTATCTCTCCGGAAATGATTCTATAAGCTACTCGATTCTTTGCCCATCATGTCAGCATTAATATCAGATTGATGAATGCTTGCTGTACTCAAGTTCTTGCTTGTGTTAAAATACATTGCAATTTTTTGCAATATTTCTTTAAATTTTTTTAAGATAATAAAGAAATAACTCGTGTGTGTCTATCATGTGAGTTGCTCTACAGATCTCGAGCGAAATGCATGTTGCTTACTCAGATAACGCAGGGTGATGAAGAGATATTATATAAACAGATTTGAAATCATCAGTAAACAATCTTTATAAGCCACTTTTCATTTAACCGATAAAATGCAGAATTTTTGTTAAAATTTAAATTTATAATTTAATAAATGAATGCAATGGCCAACAAAACTTTTCAATTACTCAGCATATTTAAATAATTACATAAAATAAAGCAACATTAGCGTTACATTTCTTCTTGCAGTTATTCAAACATGGATGATGGAAAAGCTTAAAAATGCACAGATTTGAAAACAGCTGGAGACAGCCTACGATAATTCTTCTTCTCTTCTATTTAATAAGCAAAATATTAAATTTCTGCTAAATATTAAATTGACCATTTGGTGAATGTGTTAGAAAGGTATGGGGAATCTTAAAATTATTGAAAAGGGGTATTCAAAATGTTCTGGTAAAAAAAAAAAAAAAAAAAAAAAAAAAAAAAAAAAAAAAAAACACCTTATTCAAAACGTTTTGAAAATATACTCACATAAGTATTCGGACACCTTGAACAAACATTTTCTATTTAGCAAAAACATGAAAATTATGAGGCATTCAATACGTCTTTGGATATTCTTTAGTTCAAAATATACCTTTTATGCACTTTGTCACGGATTCAACTAATTTTTGCCTGAAAGAATATTCTATTTTGTACCATTCCTACCTAAGAATTCCTTTCAGAAGAGAATTTGAAGAAATAGCCTCTTTTCTTATTCTTTTATCTAAAACACACCATACCCGTTTGATACAATTTAAGTCCTTAGAATCTGGAGGAATTTTGATACCTTCAGGACAGTTGTATATTAACCATAGTGTTTAGGATTGTTATTATAGAACTTGACCGCATTGAATTTCAAGTTTTCTTGCAGATGCTTTTAAGTTTTCATTAAGAATATTTATATATTTATATTGATTCATGCTATTTTCTATACGAACTAAATTTCCCATCCCAAAGCCAGCAAAACTTCCCCAAACAATGATGCCTCCAGCCAGCGTACATAGGAGTAGGAGATAAATTTTTTGTACGAGTATTTAAGTCTTCATTCAGCTTTCACTCCACAGTAATTCGTCGGACCTAAATATATTAAATGTTTACTCATCTGGCAAGTAAAACATTGTTTGAGTATGATAAATATTTGCTTTCAGTGGATTTTTGTAAAAGTCAAGCATATTTTTCTTGCTGACGAAAAATGATTGACATTGTATCCATGTGCGCTTTTAACAGCCTCAACGTTAGCTTTTATTACAAATCGTTTTTCAAAATCTGCTGAAAGTTTGAAAGCATTAATTTTTGGCTCTACATTGTTGTTAAATCTTCGATTCTGTGGTGTTAGCTTAGGATGTGATCAACACTTCAATGCATTTTCAATAATTCCACACAATTTCCATCGTTTGGTATCATCAAAAATAGTTGAATGCTTTATATCAAGGAATTTTTCTGATATTTCTGATACTTTTACCAGCTTCAGTATGCTGAATTATTAAATTTCTAACAGAACTTGTCGTTAGTTTGTAGTGTTTAGCCATGTTCACTTCCGATATGCAACTATTAATATATTTTGCTAATCAAGTAATAATTTCCAGACGCCAACAATAATTACTGGATGTATTTTTATTTCAACTTTCAAACAACAACAAAAAATATGATAAGAAATAGCGTCATCCAGTGCATCTCAACAAACTATTCGAATGTCCGAATTATTATGTAATTGCCTACTAATTCTTTTAAAATAGATTATTTTATTACATGGAATACTTTAAATATTTATTTTACAACAAGCATGCTTGAAACATAGGCAAAATATTGTAAGAAAATATTTGAAGTTTGTTTATCGATATTTAGCACAAGATTCGCGCAAATAAATTTTAAAAATACAAGTTCGAAAACAAACGTGAGCCACTCTATTTCTGAGTTGAATTTGTCCCTTCTCGGTCACAATTTTGAATCTTCACCGTATCTATTATCAAATTACTGTAGATTGGGTTTAAAAGTATGAAACTAGACCACACGATTTCGTAGTTATAAGGCATTCAGAAGTAGAGTTTATGAGAAATGCATTGTCATAATTAATATTGAAAGGCAATATATTATAATGTAATAATATAATCTTAAACATGTATTGTAACGTATTTGTCTAATGTTAAGAACATATCAAGGTTTCATGTAATTTTATTTGGTGGAACAGGTGTATCAGAGATATTTCTCAAAGTACTGATCATGATCTCCGCTGGAATCGTAACAAATGTTTTATTACTTCCGCTTAGGTATGTTTTATTACTTCCGCTTAGGTCGAGATCTATCTCGGCCTTTCAAAGTGTATTAATGCAATAAAAGAAAATTCGATACGGGCCTTGAAGAGAACGCCTAAAAAAACCATGTTTTCGAGGTTTGGAAAATAACCTTAGCATACTATGAAGGGAAATTACTTTGAAAGAGATGTGATAAATATTGATGAATAAATTGAAATCTTATGTTTAACTGAATGTTTCGAGATATTTTTTAATCACAATAATATAATATACACAGTATAAGAAAATTTCAGTAGCTCATTTCTTTTTAGTATTTGCTAATACTAATTTCTTTTAGTATTTGCTAATTAATTTTGCAATAAAAATCCTTTTATTATTTGTATCCAAACCAAACTGCTCTGCATCCAATAAATGCAGAGTAATTTAGGCTCTAAAGTTTAAGATCTAAGAATTAGAAATTAAATATAAAGACGCTGATCATTTTTAATAAAGGGAAGACAAAAGCACGAATTCATCTTTCCGCAAATAACTGAAAGCAACAAAGTTATTTTGCTTTATTTATTTTTTCATTATTATGAATCACTTAACATTCTTGATGAAGCTGTCCTTCACTGTTAACTCAATACCTCTGAATAACGCTGACGAGCTGTCGTTCATTCGCGGAGTGATAACCAAATGTCAGTAACTTTACCACATTATAAAGTTTGTCAACATCCGCAAGAAAAGTTTGGTTAAGAAAATTTTGCCTTTTTTATAGACATGTCCGTACATCGGATAGAAATGGAATCCATCCTCTCACAGGCTTGTAACAACTAAAACCAAAGGAATAAAACCACCAAGAAGAATAAAACCATCTATTTTAGAAGATTCTTTCCTCCTGCCCATCTGTGTGGCTGGATACGCTACTCAAGCTGGATGCCGGAGAGCTGGCTTCAGACAGAGCATCGTGGCAGGACTCCTCGTTTGCGGGTTCCGCTTTGATGGGCTTTGGGCATAACGAAGGGGAAGAAACATCTTGGCGTCCTTCTACATCGGTTCTATCGTCTTCAGAATTGGGCTCATTCTTCTTCTGGTATTCTAAAATCGAACTGAGCAGTTTGATATACTTGATGGCCAGGCGAAGGATCTCGTTCTTGCTGAGTTTCTTGTCTGGTGGGTGAGTCGGAACCAACCGGCGGAGATCGGCGAAAGCCCCGTTCACGTTCTGTTGGCGCCATCGCTCCCTGCTGTTGGTGAACATCCTCCGGACTAATTTCCGTGGGACACCTCTGTGAGCTGGTGGCGAGAAATCGCCCCTGTGGGCCACACCAGAAGGAAGATGACTGCTGCTCTCGAGGGTTTGCCTGTGCCGTCGTCTAGAAAGTCTGTTTCTGCAAAGGAAAATAAATAAATATAATCGAGTATAGTAAAAGAAAGAGGGCCCAGTTTATAAAACTGGATGCCCAGAACGAAACCTCTTAATGAAGCACTATTCCTCTAATTCTTTTCAATGTAACAGATGTAACTAATGCGAAGTATAAAAAGTAGTATTATTATTATTAATTAAAGAAGAAGTATAAAGAATTTTATTACCGATTTTATTATAAATTAAAATTAATATACCGTGGAATTACAGAAATAAAACCAAAATAATGCAGTTAAATTTAGCAAACAAATAACGCTTAAGTAAAACCTTTAAAATAATGTAGTGGTTACAAAATAGTAAATTTCAGTTCGTTACTTGTCTATTAGGTACTTGTCTATTATAGCCACCTTCCTACATTTGTGATCTTGTGTGTCCTTCTTCACCACACGGAGAGAATAAGGGAATTTTACCAAATTAGAGGGCTCGATACTTTTTTCACAGTAATCTTTACCATGGTTACGAGACTTCGTTTGGAGGGTAAGAAATAGCCTGATCTAAAGCAATTTCAGAACTTCATATACTTGTTGGAAAGCAACAGGCTGTAGCGTTAACTTGAAAATCCAAACTTGCTAAAGGATTTCAGTTACCGATGAGAGAGAAGAACGATCCAAAAAGTTCGAACAACGGTACAGAATCAGTTCGAAGAAAGCTTAAATGGAATACTAAAATAGGAAATTTAAAATTTTGTTCTTGCTTTTAATTTCCCATTTATAAAACCTAGAATTGAAAGGAATTATTTAATATTTTAAATATTATGAAAAAACTTGTAGGCCTCCCTAAAGTAGAGCTTGGGGCACACACCTCATTTGCACTGACGTAAATAGGCCCTGACGAGAAGACTGAGAAAATTTCATATAACCGTTAATTGGTACACGAATTATGTTTAAAATCTACTAGTAATTTTTTTCTGTATTTATAATGTGAAATGATTTATCTGAACGTGAAGTCTTAGATTATATCAGGATTGAACCCAAAGACGCAAATCACTGTGATAGTGTGATTCTCTTGTCTTATGATGAATACGCATGCATTATTTCATATGCTAGAAGTAATCTCCATCCTCCAGTTGCTGACGTGACGCCATATGCTTTATCTACGCAGTATATTGTCATACCGGTCAGTGTTTCTGATCCATATTTAATGTTCTCTAAAAATTTCATGAGGCTGAAAGCAACTTTTCCTAGAAACGCGTTCTCGTCAAACCATTTTATCTTAACCGCACCATTTTATTTGAAGACCTAAAATGTTGCTCCTGGCAGTCTGTTGAGAGTAGATTGCCTAATCAGAGGCAAGGCAAATGAGGATCGGATACTCTGTTCTGTGACTAGTAGCGATAAAGGACTTGGAATTCCACTAGAGTCAGTGCAACCCCCTGAGTGAGGATTAAATTATATGAATTACAGCAAAATATGCGGGGGCTATTTGCTTTCTTGTGGGTAAGAGGAGTCTTTTGACATCCCCTCCAATGACGTCATCTATCGCATACGTAACTTAGTTTTAGCCACCCATAAAATGTTTAATTAAATCATATATATATACATTATTCATAATAATGTCATTTTAAATTGGTATCATTTATAAATCGGTAAACCATTCTTTAGACATCGTTGATCGTAATTAATTTTATATGAACTTCAGTTTTTGGGGCAAAAAACTCCAAATAAAATACAGACACAATGTACGGGTAACGAATACATACATGTAGCAGGAGTATGGCAGTAATTGAAAGCATAATGGTTACTTTATTTTTACGGACGTTTCGAAACATCATGATTAGATTATCATTGCAAGCTTTTATTTAACTTACTAATGGTATTTGTCACTATGGTCAAAACTTTGCCATCGATTTTTGTGTTATTTTTGATAAGCTATCGAGCTAAAATTTTGCATGCACACGGTATTTGTGGATGACAATAAAATATGGTAAAACGATTTATTCTAAATTGCAATTAGATTTTTTTTTTTTTTAAATTTAATGTTGAATCGATTTTTCGCACATATCTTCGTTTGACAATCCATCAGCTAAAAATCTCAAAATTTTACTGTTTGCACAATCGAATAGTATGCGAAGAAAAAAATCTTTTAAATGAAATTTTATTGCGCGATATTTCCAACTATTTAATTTCAATTACTTAAAATTTCAACATTTACAAATGTACGTAATATAAAGTTTTGAAATTTTACCGAATTCTAAAGCTAACTCTTCGTTCTCTTTTAAAACAGAAAGAATAAAAAGTATTAATTGGCCAACTTTCTATATTTTTATAGAAAATATGCCGCATAATTTAAGCAGAAAGGGGAGTTCCTATTCTTTCTTGGAAGTCACATGAGTTTCGAAGTCGCGATGTCTTACAATGTTGCTACGTCACGGTGTTTTTCACTTTTACATAGTTTTCTGGAGTATTAATTTTATTTATTAGTTGATTCATTGACCTTCCCCTTGCTATGGGAAGAATTACTTGCAATGAAATTAAGCTTATTACATAAATTGTCCACCTTTTTTATGAATGTTATTTCTTTTCTGCCCCCTTTCTTTACAGATAACTTATTTGCACTTCCTAGTTTTTTCCATTTTAATAATCTCAAAAGCAACAGAATTTGACGATTGATTAAGATTCAGCATTATTTATAATGAAATCTATAGTTTTAATTTTTTTACATTTTATACGTTTGCATACTTTTTCTCAGCATTTCATTTTAAAAGCTGATTTTCTTCCATTCATAGGAAAACGTAATATTACATTTTTCTATTCTAACATCTAAAAATATATCTATTATAATTTTTCCAAAGGTTATAAAATAGAATGTTCACAGTCTTGTAATAGAAGAATGATAAAAAATATTAGCTGGGCAAATTTTTAGAACTTTTTGCTTGGGCTGAGCAGCCGTCGAATTGACATGCGCAACTCGCTAGACCAATGTTATCAAATTTTTTTTTTTTTTTTTTACTTATTACGTGTTCCGCCTTTAGGCACTAGGGTAGATGTCTCATGGAGGTCCTTTTTAAGGAAAACTGGCTCATTTTTTACGTTACACATGCGGAAAACGCGAAAATGCCCATGCAGCTAGCCCGTTCGCTCAAACCGTTTACCAGTATTCAGTGGCTTTTACCACTCAGTCGCTGGTGAGCCAATGTTGTAATTTACCTAAGAAACAAATTATTCGCAGACAGTCAAGAATATGTTGCTGTAGTTGAGTAAAGTCCTAAGAAGAACTCAAAATTGAGAATCTGGATAGCACAAAGCTGATTGGAAAAATCGCATGATAAAGTAACAAAGGCATTAGCGGAAATAGAATGCGAGCACCCGTTCAAGATATTCTAAGACAAAATATATGAAATTTTTATCCCAGGTAATGTACCCAAATTTTAATATAAAGTTAGAAATAATATATTTTATCGCGAGTTTGCAAAGAGAAAGAGAATAGTTAAAAGTAAAAGAGAGTTTATTTATTCTTAAAAAACGATTTTTAATTGAATTATTTAATTTGTTATATGTAATTAATGTCGAAGAGACGAAAATAAAAAAAATTTAAAAATATTTTTAGAATAATGCTTTCATATAAAACTCGTAAAATAATTAATGAGCTAAAAGGAGGAAAATAATTTATGGTATAAGTTTCACAAGAACAAGAGATTAAAAAGCTCTCTTTACAAAATATATACAATTTTATTTCATGAATAAAGAAAGCAAAGGGCACCTCTGACAAATTTATAAAAATAATGGCTTATATTTTGACAATGCAATTCGATTATTAGATTTCATTATTTAGGTACCCACGCTTTTATTATTCGTGATATAAAACTGTAGATGAATTTTGCGAAGCGAATTATTTAATCTCCTTTTCCCGTTAAGCTACGTGATAAATTATTTTTCTTCTTTTAGTTCACCCGTTACTTTTTAGGTTTAAAATAGAAGCTTATATTTATAAATTTCTTTCATGTTATCTTTTATTTTTTTATAAAAATTTTTATGAATTTTTATTTCTAAAACAATGTTACATCAATAAAATTCCTGTTGCTGGAATTTTTATTGCTGCAGACTTGCATGCGCATGTCTTTGAAGAAGATAAAGAATTTAAGATAAATCTTCATCATACCTTTCTTTTATGTACTTTTATCGTGGATACGTCACTCGCTTGTTTTAGACTGTACCTTTCTGTAACAGATGACAGTTTTGTTCTAAAACTGTGAGGAGGATTAGTTTTTCACATTTATAGACTTATTTGTACTTCCTATCCAGAAACGTTTAATTCTGTTTATAATTTCGGGAAAAACAATAGGGAAATCGTTTTCTGTTACGTTTATAAAAGTAATAAAGGTAATGATATCGAGATTTTACAAATGCTTTGAATGAGATCGATATTTCCTGTAATACTTTAAATATCAATGTGAGATACTGCATTTTACTTATAGTATTAAAAACACTTAAAATGTCATTTAAAATATTAACAGAGTAAAAATATAGCATGAGTTTCTGATCGATATCTTTAATACCATGTTATACAATTTCTAAAATTTTAGAAATTTCTGAGTAGATGCTCTTAGACAATCTCTGTTATAATAAATGAAAGTGGTTTTGAACTTAGTATGCTTTTATAATATAGTTCAAAGCTTTATAGATACTGAAAACTGACTTTATAACTCCATTACGATCCTGTAAAACTAATTGTTTTGTATGAAGTAGCCTCAACAGTTAAAAAATTTCACATTTGCCCCTCCCCGCCCCCGTTTAATTGGGTTAGTTTATAAAGGTAGTGACTCGAGGCCTATCTGCCTAAGGAAAGGGACATTTTCACGGACGACTTACTAAGAAGAATTGTCTTCATGTTACACATGCGGAAAACCGCGAAATCTCTCACGCAACCTGCCCGTTACCGTATTCTGATGCATTTCCTCCTTAGAAAACGCAGCCTGTCAATAAATTTGGCAATCTACCAAAGCTTTGGCTCAATAATGATGAAGAAATAGCCCCCTTACGCAGTTATCCAGAAACATGTATATTACGTTGCTTGCGTATTACAGTACAAAGTCTCTAATCATGATGTCTATTATCCGGAAAGATCTATAATCCGGACCTCAAAGCCACAAACTTCCGCATGCGCGTTTGATGCGTGCGTCCGCTACGCATGCGCGTAAAGCCAGTAAAGCGTTTACCCATGCGCGCTTCCTATAGTGAAGAAAGTAACAGAGAACGTTATTGAAAACGAAAAAATCTCGATTGACAAGTTAGTCGGTATTCTCGGCGCAGCAATTACAGGACTTGAACAGTGGAACTTTGTAAATGAACAAGAAATTATGTCTGTTTATAGAATTAAAGAGAAAGTATTAGAACAGAAAACGAAGCAAGTTAAACAACTTACATTGATAGAAATGTTTACTAAAGTAAACAAATAAATATTAAATTTTTTTTTTTTTTTTTGTAAATTTTGATACCCTTTAGATCATAATTGCTCTTTATTTCATAAATTACGGTTTGATATTTTTAATTCTATAATTTCTGCATGCCATCTTACCAGATTTAAATTGATGATCTATAATCCGGAAAAACCCCTAATCTGGAATCGCCGAAGTCCCGACGAGTCCGGATTACGGACTTTGTACTGTACCACATCTACCTACTTAAATATTAAAATCTAAATATTAATAATGACTTAACACAGGCGTTTTTAACATTTCACTTGCATCGACACCAAAGAATGATTTTCTTCATAGACCCTCTTATATTTTTCTCTATAATATACAATACGTAACATAATCATAATACGAATAATGGCAAATAACTTAAAGATAACAAATTAGATTAAGAATGCGAACAAAAGTTTTGAAAAAAAAATGGTTCATTACATTTATGTTTTATTATTTTCTTTATTATAACTATTTAAAAATTTACAATATAAACGAGTTGTCAGAAATAAAATCACAGCTTCCATTAGCACGAATATTCAAGTTTAATTAATATGATCTGTGCACTGTATGTATTGGTGTAATTTTGTTAGTTTATGAAACTGCTTGTTTCTTAAATCACCTCGTTCAAAAATATTCAACCTATTTCTCGTTTTCGGTAGTAAACTACTGACTTGATTGATTGAAGCCAATTTCTACCAGGTAAGGTTTGGTTTAGTTTATTATGGCAAAGCACACTAGGGTTATCTGCTTTCTACTAGGTAAGAAGAGAGAAAAGTCAATAATGTTTCTCCGGTAACAACTTTTATTTAGGGATATTTCTCTCCGATGACTTCTATATTCTAATATTAACACAGGCATGTATTTTGACTATGTGCTTGAAGATTCTCCTTCAGTGCAATCGATAATAACGAGATCAAACATATCGCATTTCAGCGTTGGAGTTGAGTCATGCTGGTACAGTCTTGCTGGCACATAGAAATTTTCAGTATCTTGAAAGCAACATCAAAAGCTTCTTTTAAGTTTTTCAAAAGTATGTAACAATATATCTTCGGAGAAATTTTGTGTGCTTCATAATTTTTTGGTTGGGTTTTCTTGCGTTTCTGCATTTCACTTTTTTTAGGGTGAGGTTACTATTGATGGGCCAGCTCATTCGTTGAGCCACCTCCATTATTTTGTAGTTATTGATAGCAGGTGCTATGTGTTGACTGCTTAGTGTACTAAATGAAGCTTGAAAGCCTCCATCATGACTGTGAGTTGATTCACGCTCAAACAAAGGTGCTTTATAAGAATGTAAGATTTTTGTACCTTTCTTTTAATTTACCGATGTACACTAAATGTGGATATCAATGAGATGCTAATAGTGGTTTAGTTGTTACTGATAATATTTAAAACTGTGTTAAATCAACATTATTTGGCTGCATTGATAATGGTTGTTTACTATGTTATAACCGAAGTCACGAACGTATTACATACCGACTGCTAGTTGCCTTCAATGAGCCAGCCTACGTTGCTATGAATGGGCTGGTGGCCCAACCATGTAAGCAAATCAAGGCTAATATTTTGAAACTTTTTTGAGATGAAGAACAAAATGTCATTATATCTGATTTAGTAAAAAGCTATCAGGAGTAATTAAATCTATAATTAAATAACGATCTCATTTTCTTCGTGATAATTTTCAAAATATATTAAATAATATTTGTATTTTCCTCTCCTATTTATTTATATTTTTTTCCTCTAGATTACTTGCTTGATATAAGCTTTATATCAATAAAAGAAGAATTTTCAAATTTACAATTTTATTATTATTGCTGTTTTCTTTTTTCTTTCTCCTTCTCTCTCTCTCTCTTTTTTTTTTTTTTTTTTTTTTTTTTTTTTTTTGGTTGTGTGTGTGTGTGGGGGGAGAGGAGGGAGGTAATCAACAGAATTTTCACTTTTCCTATAAACTGATCATGCGTATTTTGCTCTCTACCCCAGTCGATCCTTTGATAATCATTGACCCCTTTAAAATGTGACCGAACCTCAGAAGTCAAAACCGATCCCTTTGTGAATGCTGACTAAAAAATTCTACGGTTGAAGGAATGTTAAGTACTTTCATTTTAGGACATATCACACCTAGAATAACAAATAAGATACCAACTAGTTCCTTTCCTACTGTGCATGCGAGTTACTTTCTCCATCACAGTTTCGGTAAAGCTTCGTAAATCGCCATATTTACTGGTGGGTTAGGCAATGAAATATACAGCCCGTTTACCGGGACTGAAGCCCGAGTCGAACTACCTACATTCAGCGGTCTCATTATTCGGCCGCTGATGCTCTTCAAAGCTACCTTGCCAAGTTTAACGAATAAACAGGATATTAAAATAAAATTAGCATTTTTTGTTTTCTGAAATTCATTATGAAACACTATTCTGTAATTTTAAATGATTTGTAATATATTCTACCAATTCCTGACAAATAATACTGTGAGGAAATTTTGAGGAAAATGTTGGTCATATGAGTACCTTCTCTTAATTGCATCTTTACGTCACGTGCAATGTTATTCTTAATGTCACATAATATATCTTTAGCAGCAAGAGATGAGAATAAAAACTGGGAATGTTTAGTACTGCAACATCGTGAACGGAATGGAGAGCAAAAAATTCCGTAGTACCTGGACGAAGCGACGGGAAGCGTTTGCTGCTGCAGAGGCCCTACTCGGAAAGTCGTCGTCGCTTCCCACGGCTGCGCCCCGTCGCCGCTGACAACGTGATGCGGGTGCGGCCAGCAGGTGTCCGTAGGCGACACCTCTTCCGAGGGGGAGAGGAACACCTCGTCCTGATCGGCCTGCGAGAGGGGTGTGGTACTGTCCGAGAAGCAGTCGTAATCCTCCGAGTCGGTGAAGGAAGGGGTGTCCGTCTGTCGCTGCGACGAGGAGGCCGGTGGTGATTCGGGGGGCGGGCCGGCTTCCATCGGACGCCACGCTGGGTCCTCTGAAAACAAAAACAAAACAGTTTTCGTTTGTTTGGATTCTAAACTGGACACCGTTCTTTCTAATAGATAACACAAACAAATCTTTTAAACGAAACCATCTGTGAGCTAGAGATACGCTAGGAAAAGGCGCCTAGAAGATAAGACATAAGACTAGATGTTTAGGCAAAACAGTACCATGTCTGTTTGAAAACGAGAAATGGATAAAAAAAAACTTTGACTACAAGATTCTACATCATAGTTTCCCAACATGAGCGTTATCAACCATCTCGGTGAGTTGTAAGAACAAGAGTTCTCGTTAATTTATAGCATCTTGTCATGTTCCTTTCAGATATGGAACTATTAACAACTTTGTTAAACAAGGGTAATAATTTCCAAATGCAGACAATAATTCTCGGGATGATTTTTTACTTAAAACAAAAAATATGACAAGAAATGTCGTCTTCCAATACATCTCAACAAAATTTCAAGTGTTCTAATTATTAGGTGAGTTACTGATTAATACTTTTGGAATACACTTTTTATTGCAAAGAATGATTTTGATGATTTTTTGATGATTTTGTAACAAACAAATCTTAAAATAGAGAAAAGATAATATGTTACGAAAACAATTTAGAGTCTATATTGTAAATATTTAGTATAAGATCTATCCGAATAAATTTCAAAAATACAAGTGTCTAGCTGTTAATCGAATGGTTGGAGTTTCGAACCAGCCGGAAGAGATAATAAACGTGATACAGTTGAGTGACCGATGTAATCATCCCCTTCATAGTTCCTTAATATGTCATTTCATTTCCCCCACTAACGCTAGGGACAAATAATATGTAGCATAAATTTGGTTATCGTTTATCCTTTAAAAATCCTAATTGAAAGTTAAACATAGTTGAGTCAGTATTAAATGCGTATAAAGTGCTGATTGTTTTACAAAATGATTCATGATTTTTGTGCTGTAGAGTCATTACGTTATTTTGATGTTGCAGACGTGAAAAATGAGCAATGCCTCGCCGGGACTCGAACCTGGTCCTCTCGAATACACGCCGAGTGTGCTAGCGTTACACAACGAAAGCATGCAGAAAAGATGAAGAAAATACCTTATACACTCCCCTTTTAAAGGGCGACTGGGTATTAGTGTACCCAGTCGCCAAATCCTGGTAGCGAAGAATCATCATCCACTACCTTTTATTTCGGGGGGCATTGTAGAGACAGAAGGTTTTTTTTTTAAACAGGAAACGTAAAAAATTAGCAATGCCCTCACAGGGACTCGAAGCTGGACCTCGCGAGTACGCGCCGAGTGAGCTAGGCATTACAGGCATGCAGAAAGGAGGAAGGAAATACCTTATAGTGTGTATACTAATAAGGCTAGGTAAAGTGAACTTTAGGTTTTCACACTCATAGTAAATCGAAAGCTGATAAGAATATGTTCTCATTTTTTAGTTAAATGTAATTGCTTTTTATAGCATATTTTCTAAAACTTGTTGAAGATTCTAGGTAGGTAATTTAAAGTCGATCCTCATTTGGATAAAATAGCAAATATTCTGCTGTGAAACATGCTTATTTAGTATTTAGTTATTGTTATTATTCTGAGCTAACGTTGTACTTAATGTAGGAAAATTTGAATGAATTAGACATTCTCTGGAGTTTTCATCTTGGGGAAGGTAACGTTTAGCAACATTAACTAAATTACATTCTCGAAAATGCTTTAGTGTTTCCTATAATGCAAACTTATAATATACAATTGTAAGAAATTGGAACATTATTTGGGTGTCATTTTGGAATGAAGAAATTTCTGTATTCGGGATGTATGAAAGTTAAAATATTCGAAAATGTAGCGTAGAATTTGGTAAAATATCTCTAACTATTTCTTTCTTTGGTTCCTCCTTTAAATACATGTTGTGTAAAGGTACAGTATCCTTTAATAAGTTTTCATTCATAATGACATGCATTGGGAAATAAACTAATGAAATAGATTATACGTGAAGTTGCCTATTAGATTGGAACTGAATTATATTCGAGTAAATGTGTTAACATTAATTATGTGCTAGAAATAAAAGTATATCAATAAAAGAAATTTTCAAGACATGAAATGGTAACCAATGGGTAAAATCGTTGAATACTGGGTAATTCACCTCTGATGCGATACTGGGAATGTTGATCGTACGAATTTCTTTCTTCTTTCTTAATAATTTAACCTTAAATAACTGTTAGTTTCTCTTGAAAGTTGTCCATAAAGGTAGAAATATCCGTAAGTAGTGTAGGAAAAAGGTTATAATTTATTTCTCCTGCCTTCTTGGCATGCCTTCGTGGTGTGGTGGTCTGCACGCTGGGCGTGTATTCCAGAGGTCCGCGGTTCGATTCCTGGCAAAGGCGTTGCATATTTTTCATCTTGCCTGCTTCCAAAAAAAATACCTAATGTCTATACAGTGGCGCCCGAACTAAAAAGGGCTGTGGATAATGATTCTCCTCACCCAGGATTTGACGATTGGGTCCCATAAGAAACCCAGTCGTCCTTTAAATGGGGGAGTATATAAGGTATTTACCGCCTTCTTGGCATGCCTTCGTGGTGTGGTGGTCTGCACGCTGGGCACGTATTCCACAGCTCCGCGGTTCGATTCCCAGCGAAGGCGTTGCATATTTTTCATCTTGCCTGCTTCCAAAAAGTACTTAACGTCTCTACAAGGTAATAACGTAAAATTTGGATTGTCAGGGCATTTAAAGGGTAAAAATAATGGTATGGATGCATCAATTATAAAAAGATGCTGAATTAAAAAATATATTAAACGTTCAAAATAATAAGAAGGATTTCTGTATAAGTACATGAGCAGTGAATATGGTTCTAAAATTATGAATGAAAGTTTACATTTCATTTTGAATATTCGGAATATATCAAGTTCATTTATTAAAGTCAATCGAGATTCGAAACTTAAACATTGGTATCTTCGAAAAGCTCAAACATGCGCTTTCAAGTATAAATGATATTAAAAAGTTAAAGGAAACATCTGAAAATGCTAGAAGTTAATAATGTTTGGAATGCGAGTGAAATTAATAAAGAAGTAGAGTAGTAGAATTGGTAATGGTAAAGACTATTACAGATGAAAAATTGTAGAATATGTAAATTTAAATAGAACTATAAAATTTAGATTAAATGAGTAGTATTCAAAGAATTGTATATGAATAACAGTTAACAGTTACAAAATAAAATGCTTAGTTGAAAAATATCAGTATGTTTAGGAAAAAATCATATAAAATTAAGTGAAATAGTAAAATAAGTAAAATCAAAAGGGCTGTTACGATCGAAAATTTTAAAAAATGAATTAAAATGCAAATTATGCCGGAAACTAGAAAGGGAAAAGTGCCAAAGGAGTAAAAAAATTACATCTAAAATTATAAAGATCCTGTGTATGATGAGAAAATATAATAAATAAGTTAAAAATGAGTGTGCGTTAAAAAGAACGAAGGTGAAAATGCACGAAACCAGTTAAAAATTACATCTAAAATTAAACAAAGGTAATGTATATAATCAAAAAATATATGAATTAATTTAAAATTAAGAGTATGCTGGAAATTACGAAGATTAAGATGTATGAAAGAAGTTAAAATTTAAATAAATATCACGTATATGGTCTGAAAATATAAGATATTTGTTAAAATTCAGAATATGTTAAAAATTATAAACGTTAAAAAGTATGAAAGAAGTTAAACATTGCATCTAAAATGAAGTAAGGCTTTCTTTTACTTTATGATCATATATCTTCATGATCCCCTAAAAGGCTTTACTTAATTTTAGGGAATCATGTATATGATCATAAAAGAAAAGAAATATGTTAAAATTAAGAGCATGTTGATTAGAAAGGCACGAAAAAAGCTCTGTGTGAAGTGAAATAAGTAATAAAATTTAGTAGCATAATTAAGGTTATGAAAAATAAATAAATGTGCTATTATGAATGGAAAATATAAGGAATACCTTAAAATTAAGAGAACGTATTAAACAGTAAAGCTTAAACCATATGGCATATGGTAGAAATTACAACTTTATCTCTAAAATTAAGGCTTTGCAAATCAATAGTTAGTTGGAATTAACCATTATATATATTATATATACATAGTAAAATACCTGGAAATACGAAGAAAAACACAAAGGCTAAAAATCCAAATATTAAAGGTAATTACCGCCGGAAAATCAATAAAAGATAACTTCTTATCAACATGGACCTTATGCTTATCAAACTGTGACGTCATATTAGCAACTAAATTAAGAATCATAAAAGACTCATCCTTATCAGTTAGCTGCGCCTGCGCGCACAAAATCACCCCAAATCCGCATACGGGCTTGCACCGCGCACGGCCTCCAGTTGATGAACTCTCCGTTTTAGACTACTCCACACACACACCAGTTATAGTTATAAAACGTATCTTGACGCAAATATTAAAATTTATCTTTTCTTAAATCTGGTGTATTTAATTATGGCAAAGCACACGGGGGCTATCTGCCTAAGGGGAGGGATGCCTTTCGTGGAGGACTTTCTAAGGGAAACTGGCTCGTATACACGTTACACATGGGGAAAACCACGAAAACGCCCATGCAGCCAGCCCGTTCGCGGGATTCGAACCTCGGACCGAACTACCAGTGTTCAGCGACATTACCGCTCGGCCGCTGGTGGGCCCTTCTTAAATCTGATTATAGATATTTAGGATAAACTCCTGAGTTTTTCATTCCAAGTTGCTTCTCTGATTCATTTGTTTTCTAATATACTATATAAAAAAAGCTTTAATTGTATCATTTACTGTAATTTTTTTGTTATTATTTAAAAGTACGCAATAATAGATTCATCCTGGTAAAACAATTGAATTTTTTATACAAAAATTTTTTATATAAAAAATTCTGTTAGGTTACTGAAAAACATGGAAACTGCGATGCCGTGGTTTATTTGAGTAAAAATAGCATGTGCATTCTTTTTAAATTTATAGGGTAACAGGTACAGAGTTACAGTGCTTTGTAAATTTATAGGATTTTTACCTGTAAAGGTAACATATTTTTTCCCTATAGCATGTCTTTGGTTGATGTTATGCTATTTAATTCTCAAAATATACATTACTTGGTTGGTCTAAATGTTGTATAAAGCTCTACCTAACAGATTTCAGTCAAAGAAGTACCCATTAAGTAGTAATTTAAAATGAAGAGAAATAATAACAGTTGTTTGTAAGGTCTTTATTTTATTCTAACCAATTATTTTTAGTTTCCCTTTCCCTCTTGATTTCAGTTCCCTTTTCCCTCTTCATTTCAGTTTCCTAATGGAATATAAATTTGTTATGACGTAGACTCCCAGCTCAAGATCATATTGTTACACGTAGATACAAATCTAAACGTGTTTCAGAAGCAGTATTTAAGCTGCGTTTGAAGAGTTCAAACAGAATAGTTAGCTGCCTTAGTTTTGAGTTTATGCTGTATGTTTGAAATTTGCTCTCTAGACGGAAACCTTTCAGTTTATGCTGATAATTCTCGGCTCGGCTTTGCTGATTGCAGCCGATTTAGCGTTTAGTTAAGCTAAGGAGCCAGTCGTTAGATATCTTAACTTATTAGTGATTTGGGGCAGTCTTATTTTCTGTTAACTTTACGTTACCCACAAGTGATGGTGATTTGTAAGCATGAAGTGCGTGCATTTGTTTTAATTTAATTTAAATAAAAAGATTAATTTAAAACATTTCTTCTGCAGTATTTATTCTTCAAGGCATAGCGAGAATTCCCTACTTCCTGTTCTACATAGAGTCCAAGTTGTATGCTACCAAAAAGAACAAGGAGACTATAAGTTTAATGCATAAATGAACAGAGAGGCGTCAAACTGTAGAGTGATTAGGCATTTATCAGAGCAGGAAACCTAAAGATAAGCAGTGTTTTTGCTGGGATTCAAACTCCGGATCTACTGATGCATGATGTACTAAACATACTTCCAATTACATCCCGAAAACGCGAGATAAGAAAACAGAAAATTCTTTATATTCATTCCTACTTTAAATTAAACTGTAGAGGAAGGACTACAATCGCCAAGTCTCGATGTCGCTAAGTGAATTTACCATCCGCCTCATTTTTAGTTCAACTGCTACTCGTCGTGTTAATTCAGGATTTTTTAGAGCTGGGAGTTAGGAAACATCAGCAATGTCCTCACCGGAAATCCAATTACTCCACGAAGGCACGTGGTAAGTGAGGAGAAAATTTCTTACAAAACTATCAAAATATACATAATAATAAATAGCTAATAATAGATAGCTCACAATTTCTGGAGTGCAAGTTACAGAATTCTACTTTTTCGTTTAACATATCTTTCGGCAAAGATCATATTAATACAAATCTTCGTAATATATATATATATATATATATATATATATATATTATATATATAAACTGAAAAACTTAACTATGAATTTGTTTTTCATATGTCTAAGCACACAACCCATTTCTATTTCAATTAAAATAAATCCCGAAATTGAAATCTAAAACCTATGAATAAACTAACAGCAGGCTTAATTTTTTGTGGCCTTGAATGAACAAAGTAATCCGGATAATTTACGTTTCTGACATCTGGCTGTAGACCTGGAGTGTTATTCTTTTATGTAGATTGTATACAATATAAATAGTCGCATGTGAAACAAGCAAAGAATGTACTAATAGTTGACAGAAATTTATTATAGTGTTTTAAAGTATGATTATTTGCAAAAGACATATGCTTAGTTCTCACAATTAGAGGCCTTAAATTATTATAGAAAAATTATAGAAAATCCTTAATTAAATTAAAAGTTAAAATTATCAGTATACCTGTAGTCTACAAATTTATAAGTACACTTGTTTTCATTACAAAATTTGTAATCGTAAAAATAAATAAATAAATAAAAATAAAAAATCTGAAACGTTTCAGATTTTAAATTACGTCTAAAGGGGCGTTTTTTTAACGTTTTGTGTGTTACCTTTATTTATTAAATACAGTTAGTTAAAAGCCGTTAATTCGAACACCCATAATCCGGAATGATCTATAATCCGGATCTCAAAGCTAAAAACTTTCTGCGCATGCGCCGCGTTGACACATGCGCATAGGCGTTTACACGTGCGCATAAGACCTTTACGACTGCGCATATGAGTGTGCGCAAATGCAGAATACGTTTTCGCGTGCGCGTTTAATGTATAACGGACGGTATAAGCTAAAATTACCTAATTATCTATTTCAGTTGATGTTGATGATTGCGTTGTTCCTTAATCTTCGAACTGGATCCGGCTTATTACTTTTTTCAGACTGTAAGAGCAATTTTATAAAAGTAAACTTGAACTTTCGATTATGTCAAACAGAATTTCCGATGCTGGAGATCCCAAAGGATGTACAAAACGAAAGTATGTTTCGATGTCCATCAAACACAAAGTGGAATTGCTGCAAAAAATGGATAAAGACATGATGAAGGTGACAGAGAGGTTAGTGAAAACGAAAAAATTTCGATCGATAAGTTAGTCGGTATTCTCGGCACAGCAATTACGGGACTTGAACAGCGGAACTTTGTAACTGAGCAAGAAATTACGTCTGTTTATAGAATTAAAGAGAAAGTATTATCACATAAAACGAAGCAACTTAAACAACTTACATTGAAAGAAATGTTTAATAAAGTAAACAAATAAATATTAAGCTTTTTTTTTTTTGTAAATTTTGATACCCTTTAGATCATAATTGTTCTTTATTTCATAAATTACGGTTTCATATTTTTAATTTTAGGATTTCTGCATGCCATCTTACGAGATTTAAACTGATGATCTATAATCCGGAAAAATCGATAATCCGGAATTGCCGAAGTCCCGACGAGTCCGGATTAACGACTTTTGACTGTATCATGTTCTACGTACTTAAAGCATAAAATTCAATTCAACAGCAATATCACAAAATAATTTTAAAATGAGCATATCCTTAGAATTTCCGAATCTCGTGTGCTGGAGATAAAAATGCTTTTTTTTTCTTTTTTTTTTTTTTTTTTTCTTTTTTTTATTCCCGTAAAGTGTTGCCATTGTTCGCCTTGAAATCGTCGATTTTATTAGTAAAAAATTCGTTGAAGTATTAAAAATATGAAATCGATAATAAAACAAATTTCAAATTCAAATTAGGGCTTCCGCATGCCTGTATTCTATAGAAGATTACATTATTCAAATTTTGATGGCTCCTTTACCTTATTTTGATGGTACCTTTGTTTTATCACAGTGCGAGAATTATGCATACATTCATGCAGATTCTTTATTACGTAATTTCTTTAAATATACGAGTAATACAGGGCTCTAATATTTGGTGGCAACAATTTGAAAATGAATTGATTCACCGTTTATAGTTTTGAATACAAAATGCCAAAACGAAATTAATAGTCCTTCAGGGCAAATTACTCCTTTGGACTTAAAAAAAACTGACTTGGACTGAAAGAAAAAAAAAAAAAAAAATTAGTGGCATTATTATTGATAAACTATGTTAATTCCATATTACATATATAATTGTTATTGAAACAAAAAGACCATAAAGTTAAAAAGCTATTGGGATTAAAATCTGCCAGAAGGGAAAAAAATATAGGTTATTTCAATATTTTTATATGAATTTAGTTCTATAACTTAATAAACACACTGTGTATATAAGCAATAATAATACAAATAAAAATTATTTACTTTTATAAAAAGTCTTCCGTTGGTGATAAAAAAGAAAACTGAATCCTAAAGAGGAGAAGCTCTTAAAAAGTACGAATTAATGTTTCACGTAATGTTGTTCATCAAATCTATTACGATTACTAAAAGTAAACGTCGCCCCCGGGTGGGCTCGAACCACCAGCCTTTCGGTTAACAGCCGAACGCGCTAGCCGATTGCGCCACGGAGGCTTCGGGTTGTTTTATCTAATAAAGTGTCAATTCCTTTTCGTCGTCCATTGAGAGGGCTATTAATAATTTGGCATGTTCCGAAAATCTTAAAATTACAATTACTGCTTTTATATTACTTATGAAATTTTATCTATACTGTTATACAATGATCCAATTTTATTTCCAATAACATTAAAATAAGTTTGATTTCCCATTACTTTTATTATACAATTTAAGATTCGTTTCTCTATCTCAGCCACTATTTAATACAGATTTCTCTCCCTTTGCCTTTCCAGTTTCCTATATTTTTGATTACCCTTTCCATTGTTCTAAATGGTTTATTCTAAAATCACTTTAGATACGGAATGAAAACTGCATTACAATAATGTTCCTCTGCGTTTCATACAAAATTACATTCGTAAATTCCGTTCAAGCATTCAGTTAAAATTTATTTAATACTATTTGTTACAAAAATAATTATTAATTACTAGTTGAACCCATGAAATTGTATTAGTTCGTTTCAATAAAAATCATTACATACTTTTCTTTCTAATAATAACTATTTTATAACTCGCGCCTTATAATAAGTATGTATAACTTTTGTTGGTTAAAATGAGAAATAGAATTTTGAATTTTGAATCAAAAATTCAAAATTGAATTTTTGATTCAAATTTTGAATCTCCACTGACGAATAAATTTCTTCTAGCAAAAGAAAAATTTAAAACGTTCTGCAGATTTCAATAATTCTAAAAGATTAATCTAACAAAATTTGCTGAAAATAATGAGTAAATACTCCTGATGTTTTCCTTGCAAATTTGAACACATGTATATATGTCAATAACAATTTTAATAACTGTAATTTAATGCTTCATGATTTTAAGCACTAAAACGTAAATCGTAAAGTAACACGTATATTAAATTCGACAATTACAAACCAAACATCCATGACTATAATTGAGAAATAATTGACTTGGCTGATTACAGTGAGGTGAGGTTTGACTTTTTATTTCCATGTTTATTAATTTGGCAATTTTACATTGAGTTCATTTACAGTTTAAGATAATAATACTATCACAAAATGTCTTCAACAATGCGGGATCAATCTCGTATTGTTGAATATAAATCTAGCACTTTTTTTTTTTTTTTTAACTGAGAACTTTATTACTCTCAATCGCCACTTTTGCTTTGAATCACTCTAACTTCTCTAACACTCTAACTTCTATTCTTTTTTTTTTTTTTTTTTTTTTTATATCAATGATTCTCATAACGCTAGTACTGCATATAGCACTTACAGCTTATGATCATTTTTTGCGTCAAATTATTTCTGCAGCGTATAATAATTTTTAATTATTATTATAATTAATATTTCAAATAACGTATGAAAGTTGATAACGCTAAAAAGTATCATGCTGCGCAATGTTTGTTTTCGGACGGTAACGTATTGGGTTATATAAAAAGTCTCCGCGTATTATTGCTGCCAGATGGTGTTGATGTCTATATATTCGGCAACACTCCCCCGATTGTCTCAAATGAACAAGTGCTTAAAAGGTAACATTTAGCTTCCATTGTTTGTGAAGATAGTTTTCTAATTCGTTACTCGTGTAAAACGTTATATTGGTTTGAAAGTAAGTGAACTATCTGAAGAAATACGCTATGTGATGCTTTTTTACTACAAAAAAGGTAAAAACGCTGCAAAAACTTGCCGAAAATTTTGTGAAGTGTACGGTGAGAATACTGTGACTGAACGAAGGACCCAAGAGTGGTTTGCTCAATTCCGTTCCGAAAATTTCGATGTCAAAGATGCACCTCGCTCTGGTCGGGCAGTCACTGGAAAAGTCGATGAAATTTTGCAACTGGCGACACGCAAGCTGTCAGAAAATAGCGGATTAATTAAACATCAACCACGTGACAGTTTGGAATCATTTGAAAAGAGCAGGTTACAAAAAGAAGTTTGATGTTTGGGTACCACATGAATTGGTGCCCTGTACTGTGTCGTTTGAACCGAACCAGTCCAGATTGGTGCCGGACTCGACCGTTTGAACGAACCAGTCCAGAAAGAGTGACCAGAATTAGCCAACAGAAAAGGAATGGTGTTCCAGCGTGACACCCACACCCCAATGCGCGGCCACACACATCTTTGATGATTCAGAATATATTGATAAAACTTGGTTGGGAAGTTTTGATGCATCCACCGGACCTTGCACCACTATTTGTTTCGTTCTCTGCAAAACTCTCTTGATGGTAAACAATTGGCCGACCGAAGCGCAGCTGAAGCTCACTTGGCCAAGGTTTTCGACAATAAACCACAAAAGTTCTATACCGATGGAATTAT